AAACACGGGGACAAAAGCTAGGTATAATCGGTCGAAGTTATCATACGTAAAAGTGATTTGATGATAGACGACTGGTTAAAGTTATCTTAATTGATTTGATAGCCGGCCGGTCGAATTTACGGAGCAATATTTATAGATCGCATGTAATTGAATGCGTTTTAGATAGTGCAAGTTAGAATACATGCATTTTAATAAAAACTAATTTTGACTATCTCGTTTAAATCTGTAATTAGTTCTAGTTTTAACTAGTCAAAACTAGAATTGACTAAAGGGACTTGTGGAAACTAGTTTTCATTAGTTCAAAGTAGTTTTGACGGATTACGGATTTTAAAATCCATAAAGATAAATAACTATGTTAACCAGTAACTTAAACCGAAAATAAAATAAAAACTATTAGCCGAAAAAAAAAAAATTTCGATTCGAGATCCTAATCTGTTGTCTATGTCTATCTGTCCGCTATACTTATCTACCTAAACAGTTTTATTCCGATCTTGAAAAAACTCTGCACACTTAATAATCAAAACAAGAGAAAGATGGCTGTAATTCACTCTAATATTAAAAGTAATAGCACAAAGTTGTCACTGTTGAACGCAAATGTGCTGTGTCGTACGTTTGTAGGACTGAGACAGCGCATCACGTATGTGCGTCATGACTACGGTCGTCATTTTCATACAGCAAATCCTTTGGCCAGTACTCAGTAAATAGTAAACTATATTAACCTATTGCGAAAACGAAGAAATGTTATAATATTTTTTGATCGCTATATCGTTCGCAATACACGCGATGTTACAATTATTTACAAGCGAACAGTATTTCCACAGATAGGTTAGGTGCAAGGCAATGTGACGTAGTCGTCGTTGGAAAAAAAAATCGAACATACAGGTTGACCGACTACGTGCAAACTACACAGAGATAAGCCTTTAAATAACGCGTAAACGATAATTAAGTGCTTAATTAATTAATTAAATATTATAACAGTTCAAGACAGATAATACGGTTTGGTCACGGGGAGAGGCGAAATAATAAAGTAGGTACGGTCGTTGATTAGAGACGTCCAAAAAATGCGGTCAACAGTAAGTATGGAGTAAAACAAAAAAGTGAAATATTTCGATAACCTTGTTACAATCATTCAACGGCGTGATTCGGTGACATCATCCTGGACAGACGGCGATTTATTTCTGAAATTTATAACGCTAAATTCCTAGAAAATGTGTTATTAATATTATTTTATTTTTTTATTTTTATAATAATAATATTACCATTTTATGAAAACTTTCAACGTTTTTTTTCCCCAGTTTCCGGTCTCGTGAAAAAAAAAAATTCTATTTCTTCCCTAACTAACTATAAACTTCCCTCTAACAACATTCTCAATGACATAATATACGTAGATTCTTACGTCAACGTTTACATGAAATTAACATTTTTACCCAGAATATACTTATTGTTACTTAAACACAACTTTAAAAAAAAAAACCGTCACTGCTAATAGGTGTGCCGCTGTTGAGAAATTATAAGGGAGGATATATTATAGAGTAATTTAATGTATATTTGTACGCAAAGATTATCGAGAGCATTACAGATTTAACCATTGCTCACGAAAAGCCATTCTGTACAGAGTATTATTAGTCGTATTTTTCCCCTCGTGCTGCAACCCGTTGACTCGATGGGATATATTTTTTTGAAAAAAAATCCAAGCTATAACGATGAAGTTAATAATTATTATTAGTTTAAGACGAAACGAAAATTAAATTTTTAACCATCTCTCCTGTAATAGAAATGCGCAGTTCCTAACATTGACAAGTGCAGTAGTTGAATGGAAGAGGGTTTTTGATTTCTTTTTTCTTTTTCAAACCGCCCTTTATATAGATAGCGACGGAATAAAAATCGATGAAATTCACTTAGCCGGAAAATATAATATAACGGTGGCTATACATATTATACGTATATTATAGCTGTCGGGTCCCCCGTCACGTTTTATCGCTGTTGTAAAAATATCAACAATATGTAATGATAATGTTATTATTATTATTATTATGCGTTCGGGCGAAAGACCGGAGAAATATGTTTTTCCGCCGCAATATACACGGTTGGGCGTTCCGTACCTACAAAAACAATATTTGAACGGTCAGTCAATAAACGAGTTTAATTTAATAATCGTTAGAAAATAAAAAAAAGTATCGAAAAACATTAAAAACTCTGCGTTTACGCAGGAGCGATCGTCGAGCGAAAACAAAAAATATTGGCCGAAATCACGCACTATATTATATATACACCATACACCCAAGGGCGCCGGTTCCGATTTTAAAAAAGGGGAGGGGGTGCGAACATTTAAGAGGACATCTACTGTCTCGGTCTAACTATACGAACTGTCAACGAACGGTGTACGGACGAAATTTCGTTACTTATTAGAACGTAAAATAATATTATATACCAACTATATATTGTGGCGTTTAGAATGAAATCTGAGTTAAAACACGGATAATAAATGAGCCGATACTGCTGACGGGCGTGCCGATTTTGCAGGCGAGAAAACGGGAAGGTAGGATACATACAAAATAATTTAATTTCCAGGTATCTGTACGTAACGGTAAACTATTGCTAACGAAAAACGATTTTTTTTGGTGGAAACCACAAATCGAAAGAATTTTAAATAATAAAATGTTAACGCCGTAAATATATGTTTCATCTTAATTATCATGAAAAACCTCTTGAAAAATCAAGAAATGACTTCTAAAAGCGTCTAGCAATCTACCTGGAGTAAGATTTCTGGTCGAAAATTCTCTCCTCGCAGACAAAAAAAAAAAAAAAGCACATTTCATAATAAAACCATTACATTATTCGTTCAGCTCAGAATCTAAAATTTAAAAACAATGATATTTTCGAGGACCACGTCGTGCGTTACTAAGACGGATACGGAACATAAGGGTATACGATATCCTCTTAAGGCAAGCCAGTTAATTTGTTCATCATGCCACTTCAACTGCGTAGGGCTATATAAGGTAATGACATTTCGGGCAGACGTGTCATGTTATATTTTTGACATAATATTCTTCAAGACTTGCAAGGCCATTTTCTTTTGATTTTCAATTAGTATACAACTAAACGCATCCGAAAAGACGGTCGTATTTGGTTGTTATCGCCGATCTTACCGAGCAATAGTTGAGTATTAAAACCGTACAGGTACAAAAAGAAATAGAACATAATATATTATTATCGCCTATTTAACAAAATGTCCGTAAAATCGGCCGATATTATACAAATCCGCACGATAACGAACGCTTATTCGATATTATGCATTTCTGAAAGATATGAGGGTGGGTGTTTGCATTTGACACAAGAAATCGATAAAATTACAATATAATTGATTATATTACTAAGTATTAACAACACTAATAAATAAATGACATGACTGATCAGTGCTTACTGTTTTAAACCACACGCGCGGTTTTTGAGGAGACCAAAACCAAAACGATGAAATGACTATTATTTTTGGCCAAGACATTGGGACGTGAACAATTTCCGTATTTTCGGTACGGGAGTAATTGTTATTCGTGTACAGTAGGGTGCGCAAGGGAGGTGTAGAGATTATACCCTCCCCCCCAAATTGGCTTAAAAATACAAAAATATGAGTAATCTAATAACTGAAATATGTATATTTCAGTCAAGTTACGAGGAAAAGCTTGATGTATTGATTAGAAATTGGAATTTTTTTAGAATCCGGCTTTTTAATTACCACTTCCCATAGTCGAGTAGTGTGGAGAAGACGAAAATTTCTAAGCACGCCACTGTTTGAGTATGGACTCAGTAACGGGGCAAGCTTCATGTTTCACCTTATTTGCGTTGTATGTTTTCTAAACGAATTCAAGAAGTGGCATTTCATTAAGCCACTGAGAATGGTTAGTTGGATGATCCACCGAAACATTCGCCTCTCGACAATTTCGAGTTCGCCGCGCCACTGAACCCGCCGCAGCTACACAGTACAAAAACCCTTGTGCGAAAAGTCATAACGATATTCTAATATCGTGAAAAAAAAAATCGGTAAATCTACGTTGCGGGTGTACTTTATTTAATCGTCCAATTTCAAATCATTAATTACAAGGAGGATGGAGATTTGTCCGTAACGGAAATCTTTTAGTGATATCATTGATCGTAGTTAGTACTATGTTACTTATTCAGTAACGACCTCACAAAATTACCCACACATATAAAATTGTTCGTGGCAATTGCCACTGTTTCCGTTTCCTTTTTTTTTTTTTTTTTTTTTTTTTTTTTTTTGCACTAACGTGCAACGGTACTTGTACACCGCCGACAAAAGTATAAATAAGAAGGAAGAAAAACAAAAAACTCACCGATATTGACCAGTTTGATGTTCTCGTCGTCGAGGAACTTCAGCGCCACGGACACGTTCTCGAGCTTTTGCGACCGGAACGTGGGCCGTTTGTTGTGCTTGGGCAACCGTTTGCCGCTGAGCACTTCTATGAGCGCGATCAATCGTAGCCCGTCGCCCAAATCCGTTTCCAAGTTGCCGATCGCTTTGCCGGCGGTCTTCAGATGCTCGTTGGCCCACCGGGTGAACGTATTCTGCTGGATGAGTTTCCAGCGCGCGTCCTCGGCCAAATCCCGTTCGGCGGCTCCCATGTCGTCCTCCTGACTGCCGGCGTCGTATCCGTCCGGACCGTCGTCCGGCACCGCCGCCGCCGCCGTCGCCGCCACCGCTGCTGACATACCGGTTTTGCGCAGTGCGTGCGAGCTGTGCGTGCGTGCGTGCGTGCGCTAGTCCGTGTGCGGTTCGCCCGCGCGCTAGTAGCGTTCGCGCTCCTGAGTTTTTGTGCGTGCGGTTTTTACGCGGGATTATTCACAATTCGAAACGAGAAGAGAAGAAGAATAAAATTAATACAAAATATTTAGGTATGTTATATAAACGGAGAGAGAGAGAGAGAGAGAGTGAAAAACGACGACGGTGACGACGCGTAGTCGGTCGGGATAATATGCCGCGCCCTCTAACGACGCGTACCTGTGGACAAAACAAAACAAAAAAAAAATCAAAATAAAAATATTATTATTATTGTTACAATGGCATTACCTAATGTTGTTGTTGTTATTATTATTATTATTATTATCATCCCGCCGTTTCGGCAGTAGCGAACGAGCGCGACACGTGTCGCCGCCCACCGGACCGTACATTATGTATGTAAATAATTATAATAATAAAATATTGCGGGTAACGTACTTCGGAGGGGGAGGGGGGAGGGAAACCGGCCGACAAAATAAATATACCTGTAATAACGGAAACGCGGACTTGATTTTGGATTTTAAAATGTTGAATAGGTGACTATTTTTTATACTATACGACCGCTTATTGACGGACTATGCTCTACTCTCGTCTTTCTCCAATAAATTTTACAGTCCTCACTCAACTAGGTCTCATTCTTCCTTTACTGTTCCATTTCATGACAACACCAACCGTGATGGTAGAGAAATAACCCCATTCTCCGTACTGGTAACGAGCATCTTAGCTTTTCTCAAATTGTTTTGATTAGTATTAAGGACGGTAATTCGTTTGTCATTGTCATTTTTCATTTGGTTTTTTTTTTTTTTTTGATTTCAAAATTACCATTTGTTATTAAAAAATCCATTCTATTGCTTGTTTACTTTAATGATTTTTCAAATTTATTGATTACTGTAAATTGTATTTTTTTATTTTGGCGCCAAGCCCGTTAATAAATAAATAAATAAATAAATATTATATGAATGTATTTGCTGCATTTATTATTTACTATATTACGGTGTTGAAATTACGTTTACCGTCATTTTTTGAAATAAAATTCCGTCTGGCTGGTGCTTTACAGAAGAGTGTTTTGTATTTGTTTCGTTTTTCTTACGGTTTTCGTAATAATTAAGAAAAACCGGTGAAAACGGGATAATTTAAAAGTATCGTAAAGAACCACGAACCGTGCATTTTTTTTTTCTTGCCTATCTTAGTTTTTAGTTCATTTTTTTTTTTTTTTTTTTTGTGACTAGGAAATTCGTTTAATTGCAAAGATCGCAAAACAGTCCAGAGACATGGATTAGCTGTTCCAGCCAATTTATTAAATTAATTATTTCATTCCTCGCTAAAATAATTTGTTCCATGTGAATAATTAATTGTTTGGTGTCATAATTTAGAAAAAACAACATTTATTTATTTAACATAACATACAATGTCCGCATAATATCAGAACTTTAAATAGATATAATTTCGAAACTTAGTCAGTCTGACCTACTGAATAAAAATTACGTACAAAACTAGCAAAATTAAAATTTCTATAAATAACTCAAAAATGGCTTAAATTTTTTTTTAATTTTATCACGTCTAAAAGGGAAATATAAGCTTTCTCTCCAAATTTCAAGTCTGTACAAATATTTTTACTAAATTACAATAAATAACGAAATTAAAAAATAATAAAAACATTATTTTCGTGAATGCCCCGTTTTTCTTAAGTTTTATCCTAGTTTTTTCCAGATATTATGAAAACTGCATGGAAAATCAAAAAACGACCTCCTAAAATTACCACCTGGACAACACTCCCTTTTTGAAATGGTGCCGCGCGTAAATATCTGTGCAAAATTTCTGGTCGAATTTTTGTACAAGGTATAAGAAAATAAACATCTGAGTAAAACCAATACATTCTTCACTACACTCAAAATCTAAAAAGGAACGGGAACAAGGAACCGGAATGAGTTTCTTTTTCGGAGTAAGAAAGAGGGACGAGAATGAATTCCTTTCCAAGGAACTTTCCCAACACTTATCTAATCGTACCATTATTTCCACTAATACTATAATATTATGTGGAATAAAAATAATAAATTAATGGAAGTCGTTCTGGAAAGAACATTTAATAGGTATTTGATAAGGTATTTATTCAACTACATGAACGTCCATTGAGAGAGGCAGGAGGGGACATGACCCCCTTGTTATGTTATAAATTTATACACATGAAAAAGACGTCCTAGTATAATGAGTACGGGTGCAGCCACTGTTATAGGTAATTGAATGTATAAATATACACCAGTTAGCAACGATAAATCATTACTTACGAAAAAAAGGATTCTGAGCTGAGTTCAGTTGATAGTGAAGCTTTGAAAACAATATATATGTCATATTATAGTTAAATTTATTAAATAAGCTTTATATATGTTTTTTTAATAATATTTCTGTAATGTTGTACCGAATTTCCCGGTTATCCTACATTCATCAGGAAAACTCTTGGAAAAATCTTCCCAGTCGAATTTCCTTTTAGAAAAATTGCTATCAATTTATATTGGAGCAAAATTTCTCGTAGAAAAGTTGTTTACAGGAAAAAAAGACCGTAATGTATTTAACTATGACCTACAATTTTTCTATTTTCCTGTTTTTCTATCATTTTTTTTAATCTTACAAATTTTATGAGAAATCTCTTGAGAAAATTGACTTCTCTAAAGTACCTCCCCACACTGATTTCCTTTCAAAAAATGTGCTACATTTAAAAATCGGAGCAAGATTTCTGATAGAAAAGCTGCACACAGATAAAAAAATAAATAAACATCTTTGTAAAACCATAAGCTTCTTCGTTTCACTCAGAATCTAAAATTAAAATAGCATAGGTAATTAGAAAATAATGCAGAAACAATACAGTGTGTCCCTTCCCTGGATTTTCGAAGATCTTGTTCAATTGGTAAAAACTCTAAAGATATTATCATTTTACACTCTTTTGTAATTTATTAATTATTGTCGTTATACATTTTCGATGGTATTCATATTATCCATAGCCATTTTTTTATATTTTCGGATTCAACTCCGTTTTATTGAAACTCATATTGTAACTGCATTATATGTACTCTCGTGTCACCAAACTAATACTGATATTGCGCGCGGTAATCTAAATTTTTGAGCAATTTATTATTAACGTCGTACAAAAGGTCCGCTTTTAAAATCTGCTCTTTTAGCCGAAATTTCCGCGTTTCGTATTTAAAACAATAAATAGTACAAAGCGTCCATTTACCCTATACTGTACCATATATTAAATAATTTACAATAAAAAAAGAGGTTAAGGTAATACCACACATGTTGGCATATATTCAAAACCTGTTACCTATATATACGCAATAATGCATAATATTTGTTCTCTTCTTTGAATTAAGACCACCTATTTTCGTAAACATAACTGCAGTCGCTTAGACGCGGTGTCTATATAATTCTATATTATTATTGTAGGTAGTCATTCGAAAAATAACTCGAGAAAATATCACACGCCAAAAATTTAAAGGGTCGCGGCATAGGCAATTCGGGCAAAATGCGAATTTTTCTATTTCGAAAACATTCGCTTTCAAATGTATAGAAATACCATCACGCTGTGATATTATTACTGTGTTAGACAAAGAAATTTAATATCCATTTCGAATCATCTTATCGATACAAGTATTGTATTTTAACAAGTTTTAGTTTTTTTTTTCTGCGCTCGCGGTATACCGATATAAATAATATAATATTGTAATAATGACAAAAAAAAACCATTTGATTTGGTCGTATACAGTATACTTATACTATGCAAGGTCATTATTCAGTGAATATCCACTACGTGTCCATTATCCATCTCTTAAAGAAAACCTCCACGATCAGATAAGCTATCGTATTGACTTTTAGACTTTCTCCGGTTATCCTTCTCCTCACTAACGAGAGTGTTATTTCCTGTATGAAATATAACACTTTATTTCAGCTTCTATTATTATCTTCAATAATTAAACATTTATTTTTTAGTGGACATAGTAAGCAAAATCATATTCTACGGAGTGTTCCTTGTACTTAACTGTGTGTTAATTTAAATGAAGAAAACTTCTTTGAAAAAAAAATGCCCCGAATCGTGCAGAGACAAGAAAAAATAAACCATATTCAACTTTCAAAACCCATACGAAATTAAATTAACATAATAAAATCGAGTACAAAACTAGTGTTTTTTTTTTAACGTAGGCGATGTGTTTCGAAAAAAATATACACAGTATAATCCATACGTATGATAATAATTATGTGGCTATAGTAAGAATATTGTAACAAAAAAAAAAGTTAATTGTATTCTTCGCACGTTTTATATAGTATTTCTTTGAATGCAGTAAGCCTCTAGGACGGTTAATACGATTATTGTCGTACCCGAGCCGTCGGTTTTTTTCATTTATCATAATATTATACCTACATCACGAGTGCATAAAGATTGAAAACAATTAGGTACTCTTATTTTTACGTTCTATAATATTGTATAGGTTGAGTTACATACAGTTGTTTTAATGGAATCTGTGTCGTATATTTACTGGTATGGTGCAAGCGCAGTGCGTACGTACGCAGTGCAACTATTTCTCCGGAGACCACACACCGAAAATATAAAACAATTTAATCTAAAAGGTACTCCGTATAATTATACACTAAAAAATCTACACGACTATAAAACGTTAACATAAGTCTGTGGATCATATGTAATAAATAAATTGTTATTTAAAAAAAAAATTTAAAGGAGACGGGACGTGTATATCACAGGGCTAAAAAAATAAAAATATTGTTTACTGTTCCTTATGAGAAATTTAAACGTTATGAGCAATTTATCGTTTAACGTTACAAAGAATTCAAACGGAATTAAATATATGTTTCAACAATGTACAAATTAAACGTTTATACAGTTTTCTGTCCAACATTAAGAACAATTATTTAAACATAATTTAAAATTAGCGTACAACGTTAAAATGGTTTTTATATAACTAACCGTTATGAATTTAATTTAATGTTGAAGTCTTTGCATAATTAAACGTGTAGAATTTAATGATTAAATAAAATTTGCATTTAAGCATTATAGACTGAATTTAAAATTTATTGCATACTCGATAAAAATGATTAATAATTTGCGTTTCTTGTCCGTTATTTTTTAATCGTTAATTGATTTCTATTATAACGTTATCCGTTATTATCACGAATATTTGGAAAAAGCACAAGGAGCTAATTATAAGGGGCTATATAGGCAATTTTGTATCAAATAATAGTGATAATATTCTTCTTATTCTTATTATTAGTGTGTAAAAATAATATATTAAAATAATATATATAATAATATATAAAATAATATTAGTAGGGATATGCTGTACATAGGATATTTTGAACGCAGTATATTTTGATGCACGGGATATCTTGAGAGTACATCTAGGCATAGTTTGCAAAAATTAACAACAATGGAATCGGTAACATCGCGGCGGCGCATCATAAATATTTTCCGTCTTGCTTATGATTTTGTTTCCGGATTTTTCCAATTATTTTGAAAACCTATTAAATGATCTATTTAATGCACCAACAAGATATAATTCCCTTTCGAAAAAGGTGCTACACTTTATGTATATCAGAGCAACATTTCTTTTAGAAAAGTGGTTCACACCGCAGAAAAAATAATTTAAAAAAACACATCATAGTAAAACCAATAGATCTCTCGCTACGATCCCAATCTAAAAAGAAGCTCCATATAGTTTTTTTATTATTTTCCGAGTACGGTTAACATGAATACGAAGCATGCAATTATATGTACGTAAATGTACAATGTATACATATAGTTTTACGTGTTTAACACTCCAAACGAACATATTATTATTATGTAACACAAACAACTGCTGATGCCGTCAGAGATACTAAGGATTATACTTATACTTAGATTATATTATTTATTACTTACTATGACTACCGTATGCAAGTGAATGTAAACAAAAGCTGATAATATAATCTTGTTTTCTAAATAAACAATCGCAATCTCCCGCGCACAATATTCGTTTTTAATTAATTTTTTGAGGAGTAATAATATCCTATATTATTATAAACAACACTTTTGTTTTTACTACCTATAAAATAGTCGTGTAAAAATATTTACTCTAAGGATTTAATGGTGCTTTTTCTCTTTTAGACTGTGAATAGAGCGAAGAAGCATATAGTTTTACAAAGATGTTAATTTTTTTTTATATTTTTTTATCAACTTTTCTACCAGAAGACTTGCTCGGATTTCTACGTGTAGCACTTTTTCCGAAAGGGTGAAAGGAAATCGGTGTGTGGAAGCACTTTCTTTAGGGAGGTCATTTTTCTATTGAATTTTTCAATCAATTTACAATGACACCACTTTTTCTGAAAAGAAATCTGACTAGGGTGGTGATTAAATGATGTAATTCTTTAAGAGACTTAATTTCATACTTAAACGCTACAACTGGCTACAAAAAAATGTATTAAATTACACTCACGCAAAACAAAATATTTATAGCTTATATAGTAGAACATGCTCTATAAAATATGTACATTGATTATTGATTACTTTCGGTTATTTATGTGTTTATTATGAATCCAAATATTTAAACTAGTAAAAAAATTATTTCTCTAGTAGATAATAATGATTTTATTTTATAACATTTAATTACAATGACAGTCAAATTAATTTGTCATGGAGAGGGGAGAAGGATAATCTTTAAGTACTATTATTATTTACACAACTTGTTTAATAACAATAATGATATCGTTATATTATAATGTACAGGATGATTTATATGGTTTAATTATGCATAAATCAAATTCTTGATTTTTGAAATTTTTAATTACAGTGCAGCATTTTCGCATACTTTGATATTTTACAATATGTAAGGAGTATCCTGTGCTAATAATAACTTTGGTTTTTTAAATGAAAACTTACATGTTCTTATACAAATTATCAGTTGGATGATTTTTCTCAAAATGTTGACGAATTGTAGATAATCGAAAATTGAACGAAAAGTTTCTGAGTTATTCTTCTTTAAATAGGAATTGTGTATAAGCAATTTCTTGTTTTGATTCGTGCAATTATTATTCTTTAGTATTTAAGTAAAATAAATTAGACAATTTTCTTTCAAATTTCGATTACAATACGTCAAAGTTTTAAAAAAAATCATCTGATTAACAATTTGCATTAAAACATGTAGGTTCTCATTTGAAAAACCCAAGTTATTATTGCCATAGGATACTCCTTCAATGTTGTGAAAAATCTAAGTACCTATTTGAAAATATCATTTTTTCACTTTACTTAAAAATGCCAAAAATCAGAACTTGAAGAAACATTACAGTCATTATCCATTTTAAAAAGAGTCTGTTGTCTGTTTTAGACAGGTTATGACCTCGTTTTGTCTATTAAGAGGTTTCATGGTAGATAAAGCAATTTTTAAACGGTAAAATTATCTATTTATATTGTCAAATAGTTAGGATGAACGGGAAGGAGAAAAAGGAAAGATAGATGATTTACATTGGTATCTACCTAGGAAAATATTAATGCATATTGAGTTGTTTATATTATATATTACAGTTTATCAATTGTGAATTATATTAGTTAAGTATTAACATTATTTGGTGTGGTTTCTAAAAATTCAATTTGTTTTTTTTTTTCTGAGCTATAAGTTTACCAACGGGGTTTTTTTTATTAAATACAATTTTAATTTGGTCCTACTTCAATGCACTAGTAATAATTTCCAAAAATTAAAAAAGTTTAACTGTATAGAAAAAAAGTTATTTTCAAATGATACACAATTTGAAATATATAGCTGATACTTTCAAATATACATGGTGGTGATAAATTTGTCTTTCTATCATTATATTATGGAATTTTCTTTTCTGTATTTTAACACTATTTTCAATTGTTTACCTCTCTAAGAAGTAACAGGTAAGAATTTAGACTGGATGAGTAGGGGAAGGGTAGGTATTAAACTTCATATCCATTTTTAAATGATCAATTGATCAACTTTTCCCTATACTTCTCCGGTTTAAATCTTGAAACTGTTATAGGTAACTCATAAATGGTAATTCTAAATGATATTATATAATAAATAATTATGCGCATCGTTATTTTTATAAAAATTATCTCTATTCAAATATGTTTAAATGTAGGTGTTCCTCAACATTGCATGCTCATTTAAGGTACATTAGGAGTGGTATTCGAAAAGTCAAAATATTGTTGAAATAAAACTTAAACAATTCCATAATGATTGCAAAAAAAATAATAAAAAAAATCAATTAGTTCACTATTTACCCTGTATTGTTATGTTTAAATTAATTCGCCCATAAAATACCTATAATTTATTAGGTACAATTAAATTACTTATATGGCTATACACAGGGGTATCTACTAAATATTACGAGATAAACTTCTTATAAAAAAAAAAAAAAAACTAATTGCATAAAAGCGCACAATTTTTTCACTGTACATTTTTGATCTTCGTTGATAATAATAGTACTATAATCTGCACACGACAAACAGATAAGTATCTAGGTAAAAAAAAATACAGAGAAAAATCACCTTGAAGAGAATATAAAAAAAAAAACCCTCGGAAATATTATATAGGTTATCGCGTTGTCACGGATAAATTAAGCGTATATTCTCACGGTACTTAAATAATATGATTTATGTAAAAATAAAATTCTTGTATGATTTTTCTTGTAAAACGTCTAATTAAATATCTGTGATGCAGTGGCGTGGACGTTACATAAAATATAATTAAATCCTGCAAAAATGTGACGATAGGTAATAATAATAATAATATTTGTACATTTATGCTGTTATACACACAATAATATTAATAACACAAGACTTCCCCGCCCCCGAGTATAACCGACAACAGTATTAAGGGATATGTTTAATACAATATACTTCACTCACTGCTGCCATCGTTTACTAAATAACTTATGAATTAACTTGTCGTATGTACAATTGGCGCCTTCTCCTTGGGAGAAGGCTAATGCAATGCCTATATGTATATACAAAACTTGTCACGTCAAATCGTGATAGCTGCTGATACGGCTAATATTATTGTCCTTATATGGGTACGAATATACTCGACAATATTCCTGAACAGAAATGCCGAGCGTATAATTTTTTGAGCGTGAATGTACCTATCGGTCATGATAATATATTATGTATATTATATGCTCCATGTCTATTCATGGTTTCGTTAATAATAATTCGAGGTCGATATTATGGATTTATACTATACTGTCGCAGACGCACTATTAGGTAATAAGTAAGTATTATTATTAGGTAGGTATCAAAGTGAAATGTACGATTCGTCCGCGTACCTACCACTATACTAAATATGGTTACAATATTATATTATATAGTGATTTTTTTTTCGTCATCACAATTCAGCAATAACTATCTGTATAATACTGTATACGAACATTTCGAGTAAAATCACTTTTGATTTATCCCCGTATTGTAATTATAATATTAAAACGTTATTACAGTGTATTTACAGACCCTATACGAGTTGGGTCCTAGCCGAAACGCAACCACGAGTGATTTTTAGAGTTTTAGGAGATTTATAAAACATAACCAATACTTGTTGATCTACTCGTAAATCCAATGCTGCACGAAAGAAATTAATGTCGTAATTGAAAACTTAAAACCTGTAGGTCCTAGCCGATGAAAAACTACGTCATAATTAGGTACCTCAACTTGGGCCAAACTCGGACAAAGTTTATAAACGTTTCCATTTACTGTCAACAAATTTGTCGACATTTGATTTTTGAATAGCGAATGTCTACGCGCTTTAAAATAATATGCAATCATATAATAGATCGCGAATGTATCTACGATACAAAATACCAAAATCCTAGACAAGTACCGTGTCACTGATAACATGTTAATAACCGTGCACAATGGGCTAAAATATAAAATGACAGGACAAAAATATTTCCATAAATAATTGCATAATGTTATTAGTTAAAAAAAATACCGATGCATGTATGGGTCAATTAAATGTTGGTCAAATAATACGTAAACATTCAGAACTGAGAACAACTCAGACATTTGCGGTTCAGATTTCAATCAAAATATATCAACATTTTCGGAAAAATCATTTAATTCATGATTTGCATTAAAACGTATAGATTCTCATTAAAAAACTAAAGTTAGTATTATCACAGGATACTCTTTAAATATTGTGAAAAATCTAAGCACTAATAAATATCGTCTTTCACTACACTTAAAAATTCCGAATATCAGAATTTGAATTAATGGATAATTTAACCATAAAAATAAGATGAACACTAAGCATGATTAAAAAATCACTCTGTATATCATTATAAATATTTAAGCAAGTCTTCTATATAGGTACCTAATGACTGATAAAATCGAAAAAAATGTTCGTAGAAAATCGATTGATTACAAAAATAAAAAAACACTCTGTATAATATTATTAATTACCTGTTATTATTGAACCGCGCGTTATCGCTAAGACATACTGCAAGTCGCTTTGATTATATTACTTATTTATAACTCTCGCATTTTTCAAATTGAAATTGATATTTATACTGCAGGTCTGCAGCTATACCTACCAATTAAAACTGCTGGTCGTTTAAATAATACAATTTCCTCCGAGTAAACGATTGGGTATTATAGGTGTCAGTATTATTGGACTACGCGCAAAACAATGAGCGGATACATTAAAATTATTATAAGTCTGCACGCGTGGTACAATTCAAACTCGAAATACAACTTACCTAATTAAATAAATATTATTTCGGCCATGAAATATTATCGAATATTATTGTATAATATTTTTTGTATTAATATTCATAAAATACTGATACTTTTGACGGACGTGCCACTCTTGTCTGTTTTAGGAAGGAATTTGAAAGGGAGGATATACAGAGTAATTTAATTTATATCTGTTACGCAACGATAAAACACTGCTAACGAAAAACGATTCCGATCAGAATATTATTAGTAATATGTTGTTCTTTGTTGAAGAAACAAAACTATTGCCGGATTTCTCCACGTATTAAGAAAAAATCAACGAAAATCAAACAAATGCCCTCCTCGATGCACCAAATAAATAAAAAATTTAACAACATTTTATACATTTTAAACAATGATTTTGGTTCCTATTTAACCTAACCCGACCTAACCTCAGAAACGCCGGGATAGCCGGGATAGTGCGAAAAGGGGGTGCTAAGTGGTGCATTTGCACCACCTGAGAAAATAAATATATTTTTCAATAATTCGGACTTTTCAAATAAATACCTAATTAAATATAAACATTTGTTCTTTGTTAACTTATTTCCACGATACAATGACCTAAATACCTTGTAAATACGAGTTCTGCGAAACATTTTCGCACTGTGGTACTGGCGTACTCAACATTCACACACAGATGGAAATACTTTGAACAGTAAATAAAAGAAATTGTTGATAAGGTTGAATTGAATTCTATACACGGTTGGCATAGCATTACGATGATTAATATAAAATAATATGTTATGATATTATGATTATTATAATATGTGCACACATTTTGTTTAAACTGTAATAAACAAATTTAGTTATATTTTTAATTAGATCTTGTTTTATTATACTGATCGTTGACGTGTACCCGTAAATTCATAATATACATTTAGTGTCAGGAAGGTATAATGGGGGGAGGGGGAGGTGATATTCACTCATCTTACATTGATGCCAAAAGTGATTTGTACCTATAGAATGAGCTATACTTCTCCACGAATGTCCCTGCCAAACGTAACAGTATAATATGACAGTTATAGTTAAGTATAACTATATAATTAAGCGCAAACTAAGTTAAATGCAATAATATTGTTGGTGCTTAATTTCAATCGCACTAGACGCAAATTCGGAACTAAAAGTCGAACACAAATAGTTTGAAGTATTGTACTATTGCATAGGTATATTCACACTCTGATTTGTTAAATAATCAAGCCTCGTTCAAATCTATTGTTTACGCAAAAACTTCTACGAATACCGCCGCCGCCGTGGTGACGGGCTATATCCACAAATATGTATAAAAACAGTTTTTCGTTTTGTAAATACTCTCTAGAAATCTACTGCACGCTTGCGAGCGGAGCGAAGAATGCGTTTTATACAACGACGTTTATTTTTGTAGGTATGCACAGAAGACAAAATCTCGTGTGGCATATATGCATATATATTATAATAAACTGCCGATAAGAATGCACCACAAAATGTGCACGAAAAATCGAAACTCAGACATTAAACTTTATTATATAATATAATCTAGGTATATGAAAAGTACATGATGACAAACATTAAATTTGTCCTATAGAATTTTTTCCTGTATACGTCCAAAATAAACAATACTCCGATACTCAACAGTCAAAACCATATATAGGTGTACAATTATATAACATACATGATTCGATTAAGTGATAGAATAATGTATAATATAATATAATGTATAAAAAAAAAACCATCGAAAAAGCACACATTATATGGTAAAAGAGAGTCAAAGCGTGCGTCATATTTACGAACGGCAATAATTATTATTAAATTGTATTAAATACTCGAAAATAAAACTATACTAAAGAAGTGCATTGATCAGATTATAGAACGTCGCCGGCAAACAGCACAGACAAAATGGTTTCCCCGTCGAAATTGAAAAAACAAAAAAATAATAATAATAAGCAAAATCAAATTCCGAAAATTCCGAAAATGCGATTATTTAATGGTTTTTATTATAGTCACGTATTGGGCCACAGCCGTGATTTTTTTTTTCCAATACCCAGTGATAATTAGGTATTCGAACAACGAAATGGGCATAGACTTTGCGTGGTGATATTCTGTGCCCCAGCCCCACAGTTTGGATGGCTATGCCCTTAACAAAATTGTTTACATTCGAGTACACATACGAGCAGTATACATTCTCGTTGTCTCCATATCATATATACTTTTAAAAACATTAGGTTATTCAGAGACGAATTCAACAGGGGGCTTTAGGTGACCAACCTCACGTGAAATATAAAGTATTTTACAATTTAGAAATTTAGAAAAATATAAAAAAATAGTGTAGATATACGATTGATTTACAGCAATACATAGATAATATGTATTTGTTCAATCATCACGGCAGTGATTTTATTGTAAAAAAAATATATATCACAACTATAACGGGCCATTTGACATTATTATTATCTTGTTTTTGTGTTTTCCTTTTTTTACTACTCATGGATTTCACGAAGCTCAGCAAAAATACTCTTCTCGAAAAATTTAACAATTTTCGTTTTTTTTTATTGACGACGTAGAATAAACCTTTGACATTTCTTATAATTCAAAAAAAAAGAAAAGAAAAAAGTAACGAAAGAACCTTTTCCAGAGGGGTAATTTTTTAAAGAGAGCTGCAGGTAATTTCGGGAACTAATAGAGCTACCCCTCTATCCTACGCCCATATGAAAATAGGTACGGTTTAAGAACGAGTACCTATAATACACTAGCGGATGCGGTGCGAGTTATATATTATGCTTGAAGAATATTCTCGAATATTCTCGTTGAGTATTACAGGAAGAGGGGACGGGGTACTTTTGATTAACTTTTTGGATTTCGATGGCGTGACGCGCAACTGGTAATATGTCACATGGTGGTATTTTTGGTTTTTTTTTTTTTATGATATTGTTATTTTACAATATATATTCACTCTTCTGTGAAAGTTTTTTTTTTTTTTCAAAATATATTCAAACGGTTAACTTTTCACAACAAACATGGTTAGGTATTCACTAATTATACATTTAAATTTTTTTAACATGTATGTACGAGTACAACGTCCACACAAGACATTACTGACAATGTTGTGCGCAGAGTAATCTTAAAAATGTTACCTACAAAATCATCCGCACCTATTGGGTAAGTTGAAAAAAAAATTACACACGCACCGTGTGCAAGTGTCTATGCGTGATGAAATAGATAACTTTTACGTGAAAAAAAAATTACACTAGGATATACCATATATACATCATATAATAATGATGTGGATTCCGCCTGTACAGCTACAGCCTATACATTATTATATATTAGGAAAAATACATACCGGCGATGGCACTCCGGTCGACTGTGCAGACGTCACAAACCCGATCGCTGTATAATATATACCGAAAAGCGTGGGCGTAAAAACCGTTAGACCCGGGGCGGAAAAAACGTGTCCGGAGTGACGTTGAAAACCGGATCCGATCCGGGACTAAAATGCAATTATTTAGTACGAAAATTTCCGTAAGAAAAAAAAAAAAAAACAAAACAAAACCGTTTGTAAGCGTGACGGGCGGCTGAAGAGACGGACGGGTGCTGCCGTGTTTTTTGAAAATTATTATCGTCTATTATTTTCTTTATTTTTTTTTTCTCTTTCGCAGATGTCTAGATGCTGCGCTGCTGTTGTCGCTGCGACACTGCGAGTACACTGGGCCGTGGCGAACGATTGTCCCGCGAAGAATCGGCGGACGCACCACCGGTGCCGCTTCGGGATGACGTTTAGACGGCGGAGGCGAAGGCGGGAGATTTAAAAATAAATCCTTCGACGCGACGGCGGCGGCGGCGGCGGCGGCGGTGGCGGCGGCTTTCACGGGGACCGCGCGCGCGCACGCGTAAATACACACACGCACGCGCACGAGCGTGCACGCCGTTTTGGCCGCCTACGACGACAAGAGCGTGTTTACAAAAAAAATATATATTTATATAAATAATATTATTATTGTTATTATTATTATTATTATTATTATTACTATTACCGTGGCGCAGCGCAGTTGTAGGTGGCGTACGCGTGTTATATACAAGACGTATACTGTACGGCGTATTGTCGGCCGTTGTGATTGCGCCTAACCGCGCGACGGTTTCGACGAGACACTTAGACGGGGGGTGATCAATCTGTCATTTAAGGCACTCATTATCTCGGAAAGTATTGACTTTTTCCGCGATTTGTTTTCCAGAACGTTTAAGGAACGAGCCGCTCGACAATTTTATATTTATGTGATTTTTTTGTCTATCCAATTTCGATTAAAAAGTCCACGAATAAACGAAGTGTTAGTTAAAATAAGTTTTGGTGTTGACGTTTTTGATTTCCGTCGATCCGTTGATGAGATATTCAATATTTAAGTTTGGGTCGGGGAAGAGTAGTGGAGTATCATTTGTGTGGCGGTACGGCGTGTCAATAGTGCACCACCACTCTCCCCCGACCCAAACTTAAAAGTGGAATATCTATATGAGGGTGACAAAAAATAGCATAAATATAAATGTAGAGCAGCTTGTTTCTTAAATGTTCTAGAAAACAAATTCCGGAAAAAGTTAATACCTTCCGAGATAACGAGTGTCTTATGATAGATTGATCACCCCGTATACATTCTGTTGGAATGCAATTTCAGGGTGAAGCGTTCAATGGGAACCGGTGACGTTATCGCGTGTTGGGAATTTGGGATTTGGGTGTAAATTCTCCCCCTTGGACTTTTTTTCTATTTGTACGTATAAAAGTAATAAATATACATTACCTGTATAGGTATCCACTATTATTGCGCGCCTGTTCTCTACTATACAAGAAGGATCAGTGTAGTATTTAGGAATTTGTCATGAGAGGGTCCAAATAATTTGCAGAACACAGAGCCGCGGGGGCTTTGACCCCCCTCCCCCGTACCCACCAATAACAACTTTTTAAATAAAAATAGAATCTTAGTCCTATGTACAAATTATATAATATTGTATAGTTCCATGGTGACGTGCACTAGATGTAAGATTTAAAAAAAACAGATTAGAATAATATTTAATATTACTTAACTATATCATAAAATAAAATAAAAAAGACTTATACAAAAAATGTATTTATATAACATTGTTGCCGAAATACGTGCACACCAAGTGTATATTTTAGTGGTTGGGCTTTTAATCACAATAAATAATTAAAACTATATTTTATTGCTTTACTATATGATTGGGTGTTGAGAGTTTACAATACAAATTCTAATTGCCTAGGACATAATGCTTTTTCGTCAATTATTTCATCTACATTCAGGAGTATGGCCCGATGAATAGACATCAATGCTAGTCCATTTTGCCTAACCCACATAAAAATTAAATTAAAAATACATATAGGTTTTAACTTGTTTAATAAACATTTCCTAAATAATTAATGTATTTCTTCTATCATAGTTGATCTAAGGCAGTGGTTCTTTTGGGACCGCGACCCAAATTTTCCCCCAAAAATATATAGCTACTCACATGGGTTTACTTTTCAAAAAGTAGTTTATGAAAACAGCTGGAAATGTAAAAAACGACCTCCCGAAAGTACCACCACAGTCAGATTTTCTTTCAGAAAACGTGTTAGTGCGCTATACACTTGAAAATCGGAGCAAAATTGCTGGTAGAAAAGTTTTCCACGGAAAAAAAAAAATATTGTTAAACCAATACATTCTTCCCTCCATTTAGAATTTAAAAACATGCATTTCTTGGAATCTATATAATTCAAAACAATTTTCGATTTTAACCAAAAATTGACTCGGGACTCACCAGTGGGTCGCGACCCACAGTTTGAGAAACGCTGATCTAAGGTATGTTTTCAATCTTTTCAATGTTGAAAATGATCTCTCTGGTGTAGCTGTAGATACTGACAGTGTACAAAATACTTTAATTAAGAACTGTATGTTTAGGAAACCTAACCGAACCGCTCGAAAGTGCTTTTAATCCACTTATGGTATTGACATCTTCATTGCCTATTTTAGTTTTCCAAATTTTAAATTCTACAAAAAAATTATCGCATTTAATCGACGGTAAATAAAACTGGACCAATTTCTCAAATTTGACCAAATTGCCCATGGATGACAAGCACGGATATCTATGGTTAGGAAAACGATACATTTTGAAGTGATCCGTGATTTCTCTCGGAGAAGTAGTAAAAAAAAGACGCCCTAGAATAATGGGGACGGGTGCAGCCACTGGTATAGGTAATTCGTTAATGTATATCTGTAAGCAACGAAAAACCATTGCTAACGAAAAAACGATTCTAAGTAGAATTAAGTTTATAGTGATACTTTGTCAACAATATATGTCATATTATGTTAAAATAATTTAATAGGCACTATATATTATCTTTAATAATATTTGTTTAATATACCAATTTTCCCGGGTTTCCTACGTTTTCCCCAGTTTTTCACATCTCCTGGGAAAACTGTAGAGAAAATCGAAAAATCACCTCCTTAAAGTATTTTTCCAGTCAGATTTCTTTACGGAAAAAGTGCTATCATTGTAAATCCTGAAGTACCTCCCGAAGAAAATTTCCTTTCAGAAAAACGTCTGCATCGTATATATCGGAGTAACGTTTTTGATAGAAAAAGTGTTCACAAAAAAATAAAAATAATAAAATAAATATCTGCGTAAAACCAATGCATTCTTCGGTACACTCAAAATTTAAAACTGATGACGTTGATTTGTTGAAAAAGTAGAATATTATACATACCGTCACTAAATAATAGCCATTCCGAGATAATGAGTGTCTTATCGAGAATTTATCACCCTGTATATCGAACGATGGATTTTATTTCATGTGCTGAATGATTCTTTCCGGCCAATGATGGCCCGTCCCGCAACGGCGACCAAAACAAGCGTGCGTTAGTACGTCATACAATAGTAATAATATTATTATTATTATGTATAATAGAGCGCTTTATAATAAATATCAAACGTGCAGTGCCTGCCCAACGATCATGATCATATAAAAGCCATCACCATCACATTTTGATTTTGAAATGGCAAACTATGCAATTAAAAAAACGGTCATATTTCGCACGTGTGTGTGCCACTGTTGTAGCCGAGAAGTTGGGAAGGTAGAGCGGAAATTTAATGCGTTTCTTTACGCAACGATTAATCGTTATTATAACGAGTGACGAAAAGCGATATTGAGCGGAGTTCGGTTAATATTGTTGCTTTGTCAACAATGTATTCGTATATTTCATATTATGATAAAATAATTACATATGCATTATACATTTTATTCAATAATATTTCTTTAATACTGTACCTATTTTCCCGTTTTTCCTATGTTTTATTTATTTTCCCTGTAGTTTTTTTAATAACTGAACAAAACCGAAAAAAACGTAGAAAGAACTGGGCAATTTACGGAAATTATGGTTTCATATTATTTTCAATTTTGTTTTTCTGTTTGTTAAAAATAATCGTAGAGATATCGTATATAATCGTATAAATAAATAAATGAACCAAGCGTCACCTGGAGGATTTATTTTTTAAAAAATAAATATTTATAATTTATTTGTTCATATTCAGTCGCGTTTTACTTTTTGCCTTTGTGATTTACCTGATGATAAATTTTTAATTCGAAACCTGTCGTACAATACACGTAATACTCCAGGCGACGCATTTATTTATTTTTATTTAATAATTATTTATTTACTTTTATTAACCGTTTAATAATTTTATTTTTACTTCATTATTTTATTAAATATATATGCCTTGTCTAAACGTGGAAAATGTTCAAAACATTTTGGCGATATTCGAATTATTTATAAGCATTTTATATTTGCGAGTTTTTATTTGGTAGGTACTATACGGATATATTTGTTTTCTAAAACAAAAATGCATACAAATTTAACAGGAAGTTTATTATAAGTTGTTCTTGGTGATCAAAACAAGAAAAAAAGTTGAGTGTAATGTAGTAATTTTTTTTATAATGGTATTAAGATCAAATTTTGACGGAAATCGTAAATATTTCAATCATGTAAAAGCGAATTTGTTCAGAATCGTTTTTCGTAGGCAAAGGGTTTATCGTTATTTATACAGATATAAATTAAATAACTCTTATGTATCCTATTTGTACAACTTTCCACCTTCAACAATAGCGCACCCATCAGCAGTATCAACTATATTTTAATATATAGTATATGTGTATAAAAGAAAATTCCACTATTCCACTCATGACAAAATCATTCTACCGGCCCCGGATTAGTGATTACTCTGCATAAATATATTATAATATACAATATAACAATATACATAGACACTAGTACGTGTGTGCACGCCGGCCGGACTATCACAATTATTTATTATAATTAGGTAGGTATATTATTTTTATTTTTATTTTTTTTTTATTTTTTTTTTTTTCATATTAACCGCCACGCTAGAGACGTGGCCAAATATGGTCGCGAAACATATCGTACGACGAGTTGCGGTCGTTAGCGGTCCGTTTCAAAATAGGTATGTGATTATTATTACTATTGTGATTATTATTATTATTATTATTATTATTATTTATTACGTGTACACACACATAATAAACCCGGCTACCGTAAATTGTGCCGTGTTTGTGACGGTCGTGTGCGCGCGCCAGTGCGTATTATAGACTATCGTCGGTTTGTTTGTGCGGTGTACGTTTTTTCCGTCTGGAATCTCTGGTAAAATTAAATAGGTACCAAAAGCTAAAATAAAATGAAACTGAAAATACGCTGATGGTTGTGCCACTGTTGTAGGTGCGCAGGTGTAGGATGCATGTATAGTACCTAATTTAATTTATAACTGTACGCAACGATATCTGAATCATTGCAGCTAGCGAAAAACGAATCTGATCGTAGTTCGATTAAACACATTGTTTTGAATTGTTTTAAAGTTTACAAAAAAATTGACTACATTACGCGATACTTTATTTTTCGATCACTATACTTTATGATGAAATATGAATATGGAATATTGATCCAATCCAAAATTGACAACAGATCGATTACTTTTAACATATAGCCACTAACGAAGAGTCATTTAATTAAAATCCAAAGTAGTTTTGATAATAAATAGGAAAAATCAAAAAATAAAAATTGATTTATATTTACGACAACTTGGTGTCTCGGTCATGGGCGCCATTTGAGTGGGAGACAGGGTTCAAGGGGTTCAAGGGGTTCAAGGACTGATGAGGATTTTGTAAAACGCAAAATAAATAATTTAAAACTGCATTTAGAAGAGAACTAAACAAAGTTCGACAATCCAAAAAGTACAGGTTTGTCTGCTGAAGACACATGGTATATACATGGTGATAACATGATTATGGTACTTTGAAGTTTGATTTAATGTTTTTTACTACGAAAGATGAATGGCAAATCGGACAACAACCTTAACAACTCAAATATATTTCGAAATTCGAATAACGATTGTGAACTGTGATAACCATGGGCGTAATCTCGGGAGGGGGGTGCAAGAGGTGCACTTACACCCTCTTGAATTTTTTTGGAAGTGAAATACTATAATATTTCACCCACACTTTTAACTAATCATCTTTTAAAAATTACATTATAATATACATATTGTGAGGGAAAAAGGGTAAATTATTATTTAAATAACTTTCATAATGTAAATTCACTTAAGTCATTCTTAAATAATATAGTATACATCAAATATTCTCCTATATATATTTAATTTAATCTGTTTAATTTATTTAGATATACCGCAACTCAATTTTTAACTCCTCTACACAAGCTACGCTTAATGGGGAGTTGCAAATCTTCCATTGTTATTATTTTATACATGTGTGTGTATATATATATATATATGTACTGTTTGTAATTTTCTTAATAAATATTATTATTATCATTATTGTAAAAAATAATTCGGCACATCCAATGTAATTTTTAAGTATGAAAATAATATAATATAGATAGGTACTCACAATAATTGTCACTGCTAGCCAGCCGCCACCCAGCTAAATATGAATGAATACAAATAATAATACAACGCACACGCTAAAGAATACAAAATAGGAAACAGAAAAAAAATACGAGATCTTCGGTAACCGAGTTGAATAATAATTACGGTAACAATTTTTAGGTGGCTATTAAAACCGACTACCTCAACAATAGTTATAACGGTCGCAACGAAACACAATTTACAATAAACTCCGGCCGTCTATTTGAACACATCGCTATATTTTACTGTGTTAAAACAATAAGAGCCGACGATTTTTGCGTACCTATTAGAAAAAAAAAAAGAAGTTATTCGTTAGCGAGCGCGTACAACTATGCATCGACCAACGGTAGGTACTTTTACGGAAGTAAAATCTATGAGGACTATTAGAGCCGTTGAATGCTACCAAGATTGGCTGTTAGAGCCTTTAGTATGGCAAAAATGAAACTTAAACCCGGCGAACACGACGACGGCGGAGAAAAAACACATACATGTTTACAACGCCTTTACGGTGGGCGGACAACGAATAGATAATAATAATTTGCGGCGACCGTGATAACCGTGAATACTCATAGGTAACTTTTGTGTTGTGGCGGCAACATTATACATGATTTTTTTTTTTTTTTTAGACATTTTTATAATAAAAAATATAATCACGTTGGTTCAAAATATGTACTCTACATTAATATTCATGCAAGGAATAAAAATAATATTCAGCTTTTGTCAGAGATATTTTTACAACAGGTCTCATAACTACTAATGTTATAAAAAATATTAATTAATAGTGACATTAACCTTTTTAAAAGTGATCAAATTTAATTTAATATTTAAGTACTTTATTGATATTAATTTAAACAAATTATCGTATATTTTAAAAATATGATAAATAAAAAAAAAAAATATATTGCCATTATTAAATCCATTATGGGTCAACAACGATTAACTGTGCAAACGTAGAAACCACGATTCAAAAGGAAAGTCGAGAAGGCAATTTTTTTAAACAATTTTCTGATCAAGCTAACTAATAAATAATCAGGAACTTATTTTACTTTTGTAGAACATACCTATTATTACTGTGTTTCTTTATTTGATAATTTTTGCTAAGCTGATAATTACTAAAGGAATTATATGTAAAATATGATACAAAGCTATTTCCATAAACCGTATTAATCACACATATGCTTGANTTTTACCAAAGTTAACTTATTAAATATTTTTCTTACACTGTATGTAAAAAGTAATAAAATTATATTAATGGACACTTACAAGTTTTATCATAATTTTAGTGTCTAAAAGTGATTTTTTTAGTACCATACAAATATATTATTACATATTTACAAACAACAGTTATACTAATAATAAACATATTTTGCGTAGCAAATAAAAAATCATGAATACTGCTATACGGAGTGATTTCTTTTATCATAAACCAGCAATCTTCTCTGAGGATTTTAAGAGACTTTAATTTCTGTTTTTCTTTATCATTATGAAAAATCATTTAAACATCTTTTTCTTAAACATTTTTAATATTTACCCCCACTCCATATACCACAAATAAGAACATACTTTTGATTGTCAAATTTGAACTCCCACCCCCAACCTCTTTGGAACATAGATTCAAACAGAGAATATTATTCTAAGATTCTAAATTTCTAGAAAAATATTCTATATTCAAATCTCTGTTCAAAAGGGGGGCACTATTTGAAAATCAAAATTAGGAACTTATTTAAGGTACATGAAGGATAAAATAAAAATAAAAATGATTTTAAAATAAAGCTTAAACGATTCCATAATGATTAGAAAAACAGAAATCAATTCACTTAAAGTCCTTAGAGATAATTGCTGAAGAATTTGGACTATTTTTAAATTAAATTTCTCTATGGTAAACTTCTATGAATACCCTTAATTGTAAAATATACTACTTAAATAATAATTTATTCTAATAGGTATATAATTAAAATTACATATTTAGTATGGTCGAATATTATAGGATTTAATTAAACGCTTGAAATAAAAAAAAGTAAATTACCATGATAAATCATAACAATGTTTACATAGGCAGCAATGTTGCATATAAAATTGAATTCATACAGTTTTATGAAGTGTAACATTTACTTTACAGCTATTAAAATATTACCTTTATGTTATAACTATTTAAAACAAAAATTATAAATAAATAAAACCATGACAATATAATTGTACATAATTTGTTAGGTAAAATAAACCTAGCAATTATTATTTTTTCACACGAGCACAAAATATGTTATCTATCTTGAATTTAAAATGCTGTTAAACTGTTGTATTTTTTTAAATATTTAAGTCTTTCTGTTACATAGACCCCATATATTTTGTCTTTAAGGTCGGTTACATTTTCGGAAAACAGGCTTTCCATCAATCATTTTTGCTGTTTTTTCATTTTTTTTAAGAAAACCTAGACAAATAAATTATATTACATTTTGTGTAATAGATACATCAGAAATTTAAAAAAAAAAATGTTGAAAATAGAAACATCTCTATTGTAGTTAATACTTATTTACAATTAATATACATGTGCTTAAATATAATTGATTGATATATATATATTATATATTATTAAAATTATATAAATGTATTCAAAACAAATGTATTAGATATTACCTCATCATTTAACTCGCCATCATTTGATGTTTCCCCGTGTATCATTGTATTAGATTCTTCTATTTTTGTATCTAAATTTGGTTCATGTGACACAGTTGGCATTGTAGTGACTGAATTATTAGGTGTTGATGTGATAACATCACTAATGTTAATCAATGCCTGAAATATTAGACCAATATGGTTAGCTTAGTGAAATCATGACACTAACTTCAATTAATTAAATAAATACATTTGTAGTTTTATCGCTTTTGTTATGTTCATTTTGACTATCCATGTTGCTCCACAATTCTTCCCATGTATTTTCAAAGTCCTGTATACATTTTAAAAGATTACATTTTTCTATTGTATTATTGTGTTCATATTATATATTATTACTATTATTATATAAAAGTATTCAAAACAAATGTATTAGATATTACCTCATCATTTAACTCGCCATCATTTGATGTTTCCCCGTGTATCATTGTATTTGATTCTTCTATTTTTGTATCTAAATTTGGTTCATGTGACACAGTTGGCATTGTAGTGAGTGAATTATTAGGTGTTGATGTGATAACATCACTAATATTAATCAATGCCTGAAATATTAGAACAATATAGTTAGCTTAGTGAAATCATGACACTAACTTCAATTAATTAAATAAATACATTTGTAGTTTTATCGCTTTTGTTAAGTTCATTTTGACCATCAGTGTTGCTCCCCAGTTCTTCCCATGTATTTTCAAAGTCCTGTATACATTTTAAAAGATCACAGTGTTCCATTGTACTATTATGTTCTTCAAAATGGTTGGGCAGAATGAACATAGAGCATGTAGTACAGAAAGCCATAGATTTATCTGTATTATCTGGGTGTACCGTTCCATTGTGGTTATCCCAACTATGTTCTTCTTCAGTCAGAAAATCGCATAAATTACAATAGTATTTCTTTGTTGCAAGAACTTTTTCTGTATCCATTAGTATTGATTCTAGCAATTTCAATTTATAATTATTATAATTTTCCAAATTGCTTTTACCATTTTTAACATTACCATCTTGCAGATTTTTTTTATATTTTTCCCAATCATCAAATTTTACAGAATATTCCTGTAAATTTTTTGTAAATTCAAATTTAATAAATATAACCATGACCTAACTTTTGGTTCAATTTATTTTTTAACTATCAATTAAATTAAATTCATCTTTTACACATTAGAAACTAAATTCATCGCATTTATCATACCCAAGCACAAGATAGTATTGATGGATAAAAGGTCAACTGTAAAACGCTTCTCTCTACACTCTACAAAAAGTAAGGGGAATATTATTGTTTATTTGTACACAATATATTAAACATAGACTTTAAAAAAAAAAATGAATTCAATGACAAATAATTTATAATGTTCCATCAGCAGTGATGCCTGTAGAGTACTTAATAATCCATAATCATATAACATTAGTAATATTGAGTCATTATTTTTTAAAAACGTATAATTATTATCTATTTCAATGAATATACCTTGTTCCCGACTTTAAATATATTATTACCTGTTTGATTGATGTACAAATTCGGAATTTGAGATTGAAAATGTATAAAAATACAAACAATAACTGTTGGATCAATTTTCCTAAGGAAATTCCCAATTGGGGGTGCTAATGTAACAGATTGAAATAAAAGTAGTAATTATAAAATTTAATAAAAATAAATATTTCGGTGGGCAGAATAATGGGCTTCATTTATAAAATATTACAGTTATTTATTTAAACAAATAAAACTATAATTTATGCAAATAATATAACTTAATTTAATTTAATAAAATTCAATCAGTACTTCCTCTAGTTCCGTAAGATCTTGAAGAGGTTTCTTCTTTTCCATTTCAAAATGACAAGGTGTGTAAGTTATCGCGCTGCAAAAAATTTAAAAAAATTATTCTTTGGTCTATTCAATATTGTTCATTAAGATTATTGATTTTTAAGTAATTAAGTATTATAATCATCTTTTAAAAATTACATTATAATATACATATTGTGAGGGAAAAAGGGTAAATTATTATTTAAATAACTTTCATAATGTAAATTCACTTAAGTCATTCTTAAATAATATAGTATACATCAAATATTCTCCTATATATATTTAATTTAATCTGTTTAATTTATTTAGATATACCGCAACTCAATTTTTAACTCCTCTACACAAGCTACGCTTAATGGGGAGTTGCAAATCTTCCATTGTTATTATTTTATACATGTGTGTGTATATATATATACATATATATATATATGTACTGTTTGTAATTTTCTTAATAAATATTATTATTATCATTATTGTAAAAAATAATTCGGCACATCCAATGTAATTTTTAAGTATGAAAATAATATAATATAGATAGGTACTCACAATAATTGTCACTGCTAGCCAGCCGCCACCCAGCTAAATATGAATGAATACAAATAATAATACAACGCACACGCTAAAGAATACAAAATAGGAAACAGAAAAAAAATACGAGATCTTCGGTAACCGAGTTGAATAATAATTACGGTAACAANCCGGCGGACACGACGGCGGCGGAGAAAAAACACATACATGTTTACAACGCCTTTACGGTGGGCGGACAACGAATAGATAATAATAATTTGCGGCGACCGTGATAACCGTGAATACTCATAGGTAACTTTTGTGTTGTGGCGGCAACATTATACATGATTTTTTTTTTTTTTTTAGACATTTTTATAATAAAAAATATAATCACGTTGGTTCAAAATATGTACTCTACATTAATATTCATGCAAGGAATAAAAATAATATTCAGCTTTTGTCAGAGATATTTTTACAACAGGTCTCATAACTACTAATGTTATAAAAAATATTAATTAATAGTGACATTAACCTTTTTAAAAGTGATCAAATTTAATTTAATATTTAAGTACTTTATTGATATTAATTTAAACAAATTATCGTATATTTTAAAAATATGATAAATAAAAAAAAAAAATATATTGCCATTATTAAATCCATTATGGGTCAACAACGATTAACTGTGCAAACGTAGAAACCACGATTCAAAAGGAAAGTCGAGAAGGCAATTTTTTTAAACAATTTTCTGATCAAGCTAACTAATAAATAATCAGGAACTTATTTTACTTTTGTAGAACATACCTATTATTACTGTGTTTCTTTATTTGATAATTTTTGCTAAGCTGATAATTACTAAAGGAATTATATGTAAAATATGATACAAAGCTATTTCCATAAACCGTATTAATCACACATATGCTTGAGCTTCAATTATTTTTATGTTATCTGAATTGGTATACAGATTCATTACTCTATATGAATGAAACAACAACAAATCACGTATAAATCATACATTTTCAATATGAACACATTTGCATATTTCTTGAAAATTTCAAATTAAATTTTTTGGTGCAATTAAGTTTTTATAAGTTTGCTATTTTATTTTTATGATAATATTACAAATGTATTAATAAATTATATTTTAAATTTTTTGTCAGATAAACAATTATATTGTATTTAAATACATTCATAAATTAATATGCAGCATAATACATACCTAGGTATTCACATTTATTAAAAAAAAAAGGACCTAAAACTTCAAATGACATCAATTAATAATTTAAGAGTAATACCTAGGTATTTTACTTCAGAGTTAGCAGGAATTACTTATATTTATACCAGTAAATTGTCATAATAGTATGTATTTTTTTTTTTTTTTAAATAACAACCTATACCTTCTTAATATTTTCAGTTTCCGATGCAGGTTTTTCTATGAAAATGTCAGTACATTGATATTGAATACCTATAAATCAATAATAATTTATCTAAAAGCATTTAAAAAGTTTATATATATATAAGATAAAGAAATAAATAACTACACACTATTTTGGTATATTGTTACAATCTATTTTTCTATTAAATGGTTATACATCGACAAATTATTAGTTCATTGTACAATACATTTATCCATCCACAATAGAAGTAATCATATATTTTGCATTTAAGTAATTATAAAAGAAGTTGCCATATAAAAGCTAAAAGATCTAGTAAAAAAAAAAAAAATTACAAATTCAATTACTACTTTGATTAATTTGAGTACAGTGTAATAAAAGGATCTCTTGAATACACCAATAATATTTCAAATTATTATATATTAACAATAATTTTTTGGTGCAATTAAGTTTTTTTTTCCCCTGTAATTCCATTTATTCGAACCGTTTGTGTTCTGTTATCCAAATAACTCCTAAACCAATCAAAACTTGAAAACAATACCAAAATTTGTTAAAATGTTTGAAAGTTCCGATCTACCATATCAAAGGCTTTTGCGGATTCTAAGAATATCACCAATGTCTTTTTACTAGGGCAGCATTAATGTCTTGCGCTATATAAAGCATTTTCTGTACCTTTACCTGGTCTGAGACCAAATAATTTTTTCTTCCTTTTTTTTCAAACTCTTTAAAATCATTTTTCAAAACTATTAATATTGCTATTAATTTCTTTTTCAAATTTTTCAAAATCTTTTAAATTTTCACCATTTTAAAGTTTTTGATTTCTGTTCCTTTTCATTTCTTTAAATACTAAGCTGTATTACAATAAATAAAAATAATTTTTACAGTATCCATTTACCACTAACCCAATTTTTTTTTTGAGCATGAATTCAATGACACCTTATTCAAAATAATGACAACCTTACTATTAATACAATAAAACAAAATTACTTATACGCAGATGTTACAAAGTAATGTAATGTATCTAATATTTGGATGATTTTAACATTTGCCATGAATTTAGAATATGTTTAATTATCCGTTTCAATCATATTATCTTAACACTACCCAGTTTATCACAAGTAACTTAAAACAATAAAAAAATAATTATAATACATACAATTTAAATCATCTAATATATTATTATGTTGTGTAATTTGAAGTGTTACTTACAATAACAAAATTTTGTAGATCTATAAAATTATCAATTTTATCTAATAGGTTATTCACATTATCCAATTTTCCAAACACTTAATATACACACATTATGCTAATGTTACATTATCCATTTGTTCATTTATGATCCCTAATATATATATATAATAAAATTGATAGTTATATATAATTAAAAATATTAAATAAAGCAAAAGTTATTTCAAGTGTTGAATAATTTTGTTACACCTTGTAGATTAACATCTCAGCATAAAACCAAAATAAAAATTATAAATTGCATGTCAGATAAAACTAAAAAAAAATTTCATATCAGCTAACAAAAATGATAAAACAACAGCTAATCAACTTCATGATAAATAGTCATCAAATAGAATTTACATAAATAAATATATTATCAAATCCAGTAGAGTATTATTGGGAGAAAAAACAATTGCGAAGGTCATAGGTTTCAAATTTATTTGAAAGAATAATACAGATATACTAATACACAAAAACAAACAACATTTCTTATGAAAATGATTTGAAAAATTTAAAATAGGACCCTACAAAATGTATTACATGTATGTAGGTATAAAGAAATGTAAATATAATAAAAGATATAAGGATCAATTTGGAAATATTAACCCATTGAATATGTTTTTAACAAATAATCAGAAATTTATTACTTTTCATCTAAATATAAGATCCATAGATAAAAATTGTCATCAATAATCGTATAAGGTAATATTATAAAATATATGTTTTATCAGAATTTTGGATTGAAAGCGGTTTTATTAACTTTGATATTGTTGATGGGTTAAATTAATTTAAAACTCTAAATAATAATTTTAATTAAATAGTGGTATTGTCATTTATATAAATACTAAGTATCAAGTAAATAATGTTAACAAAATCATTATCAATAACTGTAACTGCCTAAAATTAAATATTAATAGTAATGGATAGGGCTATGAATTTAATGCATAAACAATTTTTAAAAATGCATTTAGTCTCAAAAATAAATGCAATATAATATGCACTTAAAATGTTTTTTAAGTTAATTTTTATATTTATTTTGATATTACTGATATTATTATATTATATATATAAAAATGTATTTATTTAATAAAAAAAATTATAATAATTTGGAACAAATTTGATTATATAATTTCTGCAATATCGCCTTATTGTATCAAAGCCTTATCTCTACCTAACCTTATACAGCTTATGTAAAATATTATTTTATAAAATATAAATTTGATATACATACAGCCGGAATAAAACAAAAAATATTGGTGAAAAGTTGTTAATTGACAGGTATTTGATTAAATATTACCTTATGTCAAAAAATGCAAAAAAAATCAATAATTATCTCATTATCTCAGAAAGCATTAACTCTTTTTTCAGAATTTGTTTTCTAAAACGTCTAAGAAACAAGCAACGCTATAATTGTATATTTATGATATTTTTTGTCACTCTTATTTTTGGGGGTAAAACCAATACCTACTATTGATTTTCAAATTGCAACCTATATAAGAATTTCATATATGGAGTATTCACCAGAAATAAATTATAGTGTTGAAATTTTTGTTTTCCGCCACAAGCTATTAAGAAATATTCCACTTATAAGTTTTGGTTGGAGGAGAATAGTGGAGTATCATTTGTGTGGTGGCATGCCACGCGTTAATAATGCACCACTACTCTCTTCCAATCCAAACTTATAAGTGGAATACGTCAACAGCTTGGCGGAAAACAAAATAGTCGGCACTAAAATTTATTTCTAACTAATACACCATGTGTGGAATTATAACCATATTAGACTGCCTTACTAAATTGAGTGGCATTAACTGACAATTTTTCAAAAATTAAATTTTTCATGGTGGCCATCACATCTAGAAAAGTCAGGGGATTTAAAATTGGTCAGGAAAATTGGGGTTA